GACGGGGGGAGAGGGGGGTGACCGGACGGACCGGGTGCGGCGTGGCTCCCCGTGGTATATCCGTTCGCTCTCGTGTCTAACAGGGGTGCGTATAAGAAAATAAAAATAAAAAATCGTAACGACCAAAACTGCGTTGTATCTTATGATAAATGGTCGGTGTTTAGCCAAGTATACAGCACATACATGATGCGTTTCTATATTAAAAAAAAAACATACACAACAAAGGCATGTAAAAATACATTGGTTTTTTTTAATACTATTAAATTATAATAGATTTGATGTAAATATAAATCATATTTTAATTGAAATGTAAAATTAACACTTCAAGATATTAATTGTTTTATTCTTTTTAAAATGAATTTTGATATTGATATAAAATTGACTCTACAATTAACTTTGAAGACGAAAAGCTTGTTGAAAAATTGTATCAAATTCTTACTGTAGAGTTCTTAAACATAGGATTTTGTAAAGTTGTGTGCGGGGGGGGGGGGGGGGTTGAGCAGAGAAGGTATTGCGGGGAATAGGTATGTTGTTGGGTAGTAACAAAATGAACACACATGTACCGAATCACCCAGTGTGACTGATCATTAGGCCGTAACGGCGTTCACTCGAGTGGGAGGGGGGGGGGGGGGAGGGAGGTAGAAAATAATATCCCGCAGTTCTGAAAAATTTCTAAGCCCCCCCCCCCCCCCCCCCTATCCCCCACCTCCTAAACCCCTTAACACGACAGCAATTTTTTTTTTCTCATCGACGACGAATTGAAATAAACACTTATTCATCTTTCCGTTCCTGCCGCGGCTCATGTGGCCCTTATTGAGGCCCATTTTAAAGCCCATGTCGCGGCCCGTAATGCGGCCCGTTTTGTGGCGCATGATGCGGTGGCATCGACGACCCCGCGGCCAAAGAATAGATCCCAGAGTCTATCGGCTTAAGACTTGAGCGTAATGAGGGTCAGAAGCTTGACGAGGTTTGAAGTGTATCCTTGCCAGCGCTGATGCATCTGATTAATTATAATTATAAGCAATTAATTACTATCTTCGTGCGAAACTCATTTCAAAACACATTATAGAGTAGGGTTTTTTAAAAAAAGCTAGGATCCAACTCTTTATTGTTTTTATTCATCGACACTAAATTTAGGGCAACGCAATGTGTTTGGGTTTCTTTGTTTTGTTTTGTTTTTAGTTTTTTTCGTTGAACGTCATTGACATTTGATTTTAGGCCATAAAACCCGGATCGCTGAAGGTTAGACCAAGTCCAATCGATGCTCTTAAATCTTATTGTAAATGTTTTCGATTTCTAAAATGATTTTTATCTAAAACAGTGTTTACTGTATGGTTGATTTGATTTGCATTATATTATTATTTCGACCCTTTCAACTCTGACCGTTATTTAAATACACGTGTGTATTAAAATAACAAACGCAAGGTTATACATCAAAAAGTGATCTATATTTTTTTTATTGACATTGTTTCTTCTGAAGAAAACAACTTGGTCAAAACAATTTTGTGACTTTTAAATCGCTTTTATCAAGGTTTTCTTCTTTGTTTTTTTTTTTTTTTTTGTTTTGTTCATATTTGATAGAAATATTATGCCTGAGCCAGGTGTTTAAAAAAATACCACAATAAAACCACTTTCGGAAAAACCACTAGTAAATCCAACCCACGCAGGAGAGAGAAGGCCAAATGAAACAATACGAGCTCCGCGAAGCACCCATCGACTCTCCGGAAAACCCCGAGGCCGTTCGTTAAACTCCGGCTTAGCTCGTGTTGAAGTGGTGATTACAGCTTTTGAACAGCGTGTCGAAAGTGTGTTAATAAGCTCAAGTGTGTCCACAATTTTTTAGGCGTGTTGTTGAGTTGGGGGCCCTCTTTTTTTCAACGCTAGAGCCTTGACTTGTCGATTTTTAGCCTTTTATAGTGGAGAGAGAATGAGAAGAAGGGGGCCAAACTTCAAGTTGAAGGTTAAACGGTCGTGGGATACATTCGTTAGAAAGGACCATTAAAAAAATTGAGAGGGGTTTTAAATTTTAAATTAATGTGAAATGTGAAATGTTTAAAGCGTTAGAGATTTGAATTGATTTGATAAAAATTGTAGTCTTCTTATAACATTTTTTCCTTTATATGGAATCCAAGAGCCAAAACCTTTATGTATAGCCCTTCACACAATAGAAGTTATTATATACATAAAATTAGTGATTTTGGTTTATATAGTAGAAAACATATTTTCCATCTTTCAAAAACTTTTCGATTATAAAATTACAATGGCATGCTCGTAATTTACATTAATCAGCCGTCCCATTAATAAACTCATTATAAACATATTTGTGTATATGTTTGTAAAACTGTGTCTATGATTTTTAAAGTGTGGTTGTATTTTTAATTGACAACATCATCAATTCCAAAATATCAACTTTTCGAAAACAACGAAAGGTAATACAACAACATAAACTACAAATGAGATACAAAATTTAATTATAAATTTATTTATGCCAAATTAATCACTCTCTTCGTTAGCACGACCTCATATACAACCCCCAACCTCATAAACAGCTTTGTCTTTATTTGGTTTATTATATTACCCCCGTCACACCCCCCACCCTCCAATGAAATTAAGTGCAACGTCTTGGCGTTCTAAGGCTGAACGGGTTTCTCGTCTTAATCTCGGGTTCGGGCGTTACAACGCTTAATTAAGTTGTTTAGTCAGTTAGCGCAATCAAGACTCATTACCGCCCTTCTGTGGGCAGCCCAGTCAGTGGCTCGCTAATTGGACGCCGCTAATGAGGGTATTTAATTATCACTAAATCTGGTGCCGGGTGAAGCGATTCTTTGTGGACGCGATTCTGCGGATAGGTTTACCCTCAGATGAAAGTACAAGGAAAAATTGTTTCTAATAGATTGTTCTAGAACCGCTTCGACAGCACTCTGAAAGTTTTATTTTATTTTAATAAAATAATAATAACAACGAACATTGCTTGAAATCAAGTGCTTTTTTACAGTAAAAAGAAAAATAAGAAAGGCAAATTTTCGCGTAAAATTGGAAATAATTTAGTAAAAATGTAGTATAAAATAAATATTACAATTAGTTTTACGGTCACAGAGAAATAAATGATATACAGTTGTTTAATATAACAAAATAACTAAATACTGTAATAATATCAAAATTTGTATTAAATGATGAAGTTTTTCTTTTATGTGGCGAGTCGTTTGTTTATTCACAGAATTTGTAATTCTTTTTTCAATCAGAAAATTTTCAACTTTAAGCCATGTTACAAAGCCCCCACTCCCCTAGCGACCTCCCCCCCCCCGCCACACACACACACACACACGCACACCACACCCCCTTCCGTGTCAGGATGATCACGTTGACTGTCACGTCACTTATTAGCGCACGAACGTGACAAATTGAATCAGCCACGATCGTGTTTGGGGCGAACAAGTTGTGGATGAAATCAAGACAATTATCCACTCCATTAAGTGAGCCCGGGGTGGAGTGGGGGGGGGGGGGGGCAGGATTGACCAGTGTCCAGTAAGGTAACATTGCTGTGACTAGCCACTGCTTTGCCAGATAACAGCAATTAGACAATTTCTTATTAAAAATAGTTTAAATCTGAAAATTGCTAAATTAGAATAGAAAAATGTTTTTAGTAATGAAGATTTCACGGTAAGATAACTGTTCCTTAACTTTCTGAAGTAAATGTTCAAGAACCCTTTCGATTCTAAGGGTCCACGGGGCAGGGGAAGGAGAGTTCATCTGTTTCAACGACCCCGGCATATGAAGAGTTAGAGTTGTCAGCACTATGCCCAGCCGCCTTTACTTTCCCTAACTCGAGTCAGGTACCCATCAAAGCTGGGTGGACTCCGGGACGTATTACGGACTCAAAATCTGGATCCGAACACGAGACTTTCGGGCTACCAGTCGAACACTCTACCACATTACCACGCCGATTTTTGTTTACCGTATAAATTTTCACGATACCAAAGTTAAATCTAGCGAAATAATTGGGCAACAGGTGCAATGAATATTAAGTTCGCGTTGCCAATTTTCTGATCAATACATACATTCTCCAGCGCCCACATTCAATCATTCATACACACAAGCGTACATACAAGCAATCATACAACACGACATACAGTTAGTTCGTATCGTGATTGTGAGTAACATACTGTATGCAGTGGCGTCACTAGGGCGGGTGTCCCTGGTTGTGTCAACCCACCCCCAATAATAATTTTACATTTTCCGTTTAATGTCACAATCAATTTTCCCCTATTATTTCATTAATTTTACTGAGAAAAACATTGTTTTGATAGGAAATGTTACTGTTTTTTTTTAATTTGTTGTTATCCCCCTCCTTTAAAATAAAAGTATCACCCTGTGCAGACTGCACCCCTCCCCCTCTTCCTTGTGACGCCACTGAATTTGTATTGAAATTGTTTACAAATAAAAGTATATTGTGTGTGGGTGGGGTAGATTTTCCAATAATTGCTACTTTGGGCGTACTGGGTTGTTTTTTTTTTTTAGATTTAGAAAAACATGAAAAAGTCTGTGAATATGTATTAATGAACACACTATCATGATTCGGTAACGATGAGGAAGTAATGTTGACTATAAATGATGAACGCGTAGTGATGAACATGTAATGATGAATATGTACTGTTGAATATGTAATGATGAAGATGTAATGATGAAGATGTAATGATAAATAATTAATGATAATTATATAATGATCATGATGTAATAATGAAAAAGTAGTAAAGAAAATGTAATAATGATTATTCAACGATGATTAAGTAACGTTGAATAAGTAATAATGGAGATAGTAAAGGTGCATCGATGAAGGTATAATGATGATTGTGATGTAATTGTGAAGAAGTAATAAGGGAGATGTAATAATTACTATGTAATGACGAATATTTAATAATAAAGGTTTGATGATGAATATGTAATCATGACAATGTAAAGTTAACGATGTAAGGACGACGATGTAATATAACTCTACTCACACTTGGTATATTCTCCTGATTACATATCCCTTCACTGAGCAACCTATCCCGAATCTCCCAAGCGAATATACTCGGGCACTCGCGCTTGTAGTGCGCTATCCGCCCGACCACATCGTGAGTCGCCACTCTTGGTTTCGAACCCCCGATAGCCCTGGGGCGAATACTTCCGGTTTCGTAATAACGGCCTAGTATTTTACTAACACATCCGTTTGAAACCTAAAAGTAAAACATTAAAAGATATGAAGCATTGGTAAACATAAACAAAGATTCATTTACAAATGCATTGTTATCTGTATCCATAAGGAAACAAATGTTGAAGAAAAACAGAACTAATATATTTATAGGAAATGAAACAACCCATAATATAAAACCCGTTATATTATTGAAACTATTAAAATAATAGAGATACTTGTCTGTTAAACACTAAACAAAACATTAGGCCTTTTTTTTTAAGACGAGGCTAGATTTTGGTTTAGTTTTAGAGTGTTATATGGGCTAATAATATAGAGTTATGTTTTTTTATATAACACCCACTTAGACTTGATGATACATTAGTGGGATAGGGTATAGGGCTGGTAAGTAGGTCACCAACCAGTTCTACGGTTGAATAAAACCTGCATGAGCCATATAACTGTTTATTGACCTACTTACCAGCCCTATAGAGAGCACCCCTGTTTTTGTTTATTTGGCTTGTGCTTGGATTTTGTTGTCAGCGCTAAGTAAATAGCTTTCCCAAACTTCCGCCAGGTACTCATTAAAGCTGGGTGGTCTCAGTGGTTCCTTAAAAACTTAAAACCCTGAAACTGAACTCTACCATTGAGCTAACCCTTTTATTTTACATTCGTGTGCTCTACCATTCAACCACCATACCCCAGCAGTATAAAATTGTTTCACCTTTATTTCCAGTGTCATATTCGCACAAAAACATATGCAATTAATGAAACCTAGTATCTGTTTACATAAAATAACATATCCTTATAACAAGGTGTAACAGTTACCTGTAATATACGTGATATATCACACGGTCTGGCCCCGCTGTGTGCCAGCTCCACTATACGCTGTCTAGTGGAGTCAGGCAAAGGACGCCCGTTCACGAAGACTCCGCCAAGTTGATTGACTCCACTGTGGCCTGCGGAGAAAGCGTCAAAGTCTACAATTAGCGTGAGATGCTAAGCGACAACGCTAAGCGGCTGCTATGCTAAATAACGTAAGGCAATTTTTTTTTAAAATAACAGTTGATTTTTAAAAATTTTCAATGTAAATATGCTTTACGCATTGGTAAAAGTATCATTAAACAACAAGGCAATATTGTGTGCTCTATTTATTTCAACGTTACAGGTTAAAATTGTGGTAAATAAATAAAATAAATAATTATTTTGTTACCAAATTTCTAAAATTGTTGAAAGTAATAAATGTATTTTTCTTCTTTTGTAGACGTTTAAGTCTTTTCTTTATCATTTAATCACATTAAAAGATCGCTCAAGATTCAAGTATATTTTTAAAATATCTCCACTAGGCCTAATCTTACAATATATATTTTTATATGTATCCTATCTTATAAGTAAAATAGCAACTTGTCAGGAGCCATTATTTCAAAATACAGAAATCCATAAAAATAAATCTTTAAGAAATTTTTTTGTTCCGTTTATTCTTTTGGAATTTTATTTTCTTTTTCGCCATATTTGTTTTTAAATTTGACATTGTTTACACGGAGTCACGAGACAGAACACGTGACTCGAGGTGTCGTGACTCGAGTTTGTCGAGGCAGCCGGCTCGGCACCGGAGGTCACATCCGGTTGACCTTGCGGCTTTGGCAGATTCTTTCCGGGAGACGTCAGCGCCCTCTGGGGAGAGAAGCCTCGTAATGGCCGTCCCAGAATTTCTACTCCCCCCTCGCTTCTTTCTAGAATAATTTCAACAGTACTGTACTCTACAACATATAATCCCATATTTATTAGTTGTTTTTTTTTTAATTTGATTTTACTTTTTAAATTTTTAAATTTCTATAAAACTAGGCAAATGGAGCTCAATTCACTATAAAATAAACGTTTTGATTTATTTATTCCGTTAATTATTTAAACTCCGAACAATACTTTTTGGGGAAAAAAAATTCTGTATATTTTTTAAGATGGCTTACAGTAGTCTCCGTGGCTAATGAATGTACAATTGCATTCAGACACAGCGCGCCATGTCTTATCAATTTCATTTCCTCCCCCAGACAGAAGAATCTCCGCACTTGTCTTTGGCTGGCTGTCTCGTCTCAGCTAGCACCGACAAGCACCAGTTAGCACCGAAAAGCACGGTTACATTTTTTTTTTTTAATTTTAAACTATAAGCTGCATTCTATTGCTTTTTATTTAAATTGTTAATTTATTTACATGGAAATGTTTTGAAAATTACATTAAAAATTTAAAAGTTTTACTTCTTATACAAAACCTCATCTATTATTTGTTTATGTTAAGCTTGATCTACATTCTATTTTCTTTACTTAAAATAAAAGAAATACAAGGGCAAATATATTTGCTATATCTATTGACCAAAATAATGATAAATAAGAAAATATTTGATCTTATCTAAACCTCCAATTTTCATTTATCATCAATACTAAGTCGGGAAGGGGTTGGGCGTGGAGATAGCAAAACTATTCAGAGAACACAATAGCTTTAAAAACCACTTTAGTTTTCTGTTGTTTTTTTATCTTTAAAAAAACTGATCTAGTCAAGGTTTTAATGTGATGATTTTAAACATGACTAATGCCATGGGCGTAGATTTATTTGAATGGTTGAGAACGGGGGAGTTTTATTATTCAACTATGACTATGAGCTCCTCAAACAGGTTACACCCCCACCCCCATACAGATACACCCCTGGGTGTGATAGGGCCAGTATTCGAATGGTTGTGATCGAGGGGGGGGGGGGGGGGGTAATTTAGCTATGACTATCAACTCCTCAAACAGTTTACACCCCACCCCCCTTACAGATACACCCCTGGATATGATAGCGCCAGTCCATTAATCTCTTAGTACTTGGTCAGGTGGCGCTGTCTGCAGACCTCAGTGTCCGCCCCTGACAACTGAACTAAGGGAAGCCACTCTTTTAGTCTCCAGAGTTATCGACTTTGTGTCAAAGGGGACGTTTCATTTGGAGTGGTCAGAATCAGCACCAGTACATGGTGTTTTAGTCGAAGGCTTATCACTCGAACACATACACTGTTGTTTTGCTGTGGTATAAACCAGACTTGACTTATTACACGAACACTTACACAATTATTTTACTACTGTATAAACCAAACTTGACTTATTACACGAACACATACACAGTTATTTTACTGCGGTATAAACATAGACTTGGCCTATCAAACGAACACATGAATTCCTATGAATGTTATTCCATAACCGGAAGTGTTTCAAGCAGTTGTTGTCTAGTTATTTTAATTCAAAAAAAAAACATTCCAAGTATCTGTTTGAAAGCTTTATTTTTCATTCTCTAACAATAAAGACGATATTAATCTAAACATTTAAAGATACATCTTCTAAATAAAGATACATACTTCTAAATAAAGTGTTGGGAATTCTCAAAAGGGATTTATTTTTCATTCTATTTTTTTTTTTAATTTATTAAGAAAATATAAAAACAATCGGGTCAACAGTGAAAATCCCGTGAGTAAGAAAACGCATGGCTACGTATTGAACTTAATGACCGCTAGCACATCAAACACCATGCATTGAGTGGACCTGACAACGGTTCTATAAGCGGGGGAGGGGAGGGGGGATATCAATAAAAAGGCGCAGTCTGTAAAGAGAGGATAAAGACAAAAAAAAAATAGAAATCCCCATCATAATATTGAATGAGGTCTGTCCGAGGTTCCATGGAGGCACTTCTTGCATTCAGAGAACGCCGTGAAACTCGGGGGTCAGTTTTCTTTCATCGTCCAGAGGGCGTCCGCGTGTAGGGGGGGGGTGACTGACCCCGGGGATTGTCCTGGCAAGTGGCGGGACACGTGGCCCTGGGGCGGATGAATGTCTGGGGGTCAGGTACATCGGCCGGGGTGGGGTTAGGGGTGCCTGCATCCCTTTCCACGAGGGTGGTACTGTCCGGGGTGAGTGGAATCGATACTGTAAACAACGGACATTGTGCGACCAGCTTGAGACAGTGCTGCGACAGGGACGGGGATTAGAGTCATGACAGGGTCTGATTGAGGATCATAAGTCATTGTTAAAGATAGGCAAGACCCCACTAGTCAAACAACGCCACCTCGCTAGTGGGAAATACTAATCCAGATGTCTCGATTTTATCTGGGTGTTTATTTGTTCATTTGTCTGTTTTCATAAGAGACTTTAATATTGTAAAAAATGTTCAAAATTAAAAATTATGTTTAATTCTTTATTAATATACGACTTCAGAACAATCTTCAGAACAATTTAACCCTAGATGTATATAAACATATTTTTCACCTTATTTTATGAATAATTACAAAATAGCTGTAAATTCAACCATTTTGTTGTATGTATAATCACACAAGACATACAGATATTTTTTTCTTTTGTGGAAAGTCTCATAATAGACATACTGTAAGCCTTTTTTTTATAAACAATCAAATAACATACATAAATTCATGCTTCTGGAATGAGCAGTCGTATAACAGAACTAAAATCTTAAAGAAAAATCACAATTGATAGAGACGGTCTTATTGTACATAGATAAAACTTATTGAATAATCACGTAACATAGATAAAGTCGAACATCTAATCCCAACAATCATATAAGAGAGCTAGTTTTCTTACACCAACAATCCTATAATAGAGCTAGTCCTTTACCAACAATCTTATAACAGAGCTAGTTTTCTAATATCAACAATCATATAATAGAGCTAGTTTTCTAATATCAACAATCATATAACAGAGCTAGTTTTCTAATATCAACAATCATAGAACACAGCTAGTTTTCTTATACCAACTATCACATAGCAGAGCTTAGTCTTGTACCAACAATCATATAAGAGAGCTAGTCTTGTACCAACAATCACATAACAGATCTAGTTTTCTTATAACCAACAATCACATAACATCGCTAGCCTTGTATCAAGAATCACATAACAGACGCCCAGCCCCGCCTGAAGAATGGCCCCCATTGTGACTAGAACGACTAAACAAACAGCGTCAGAGCGAATCGTGTTGACTCAGCGTTTGACGCAGTCTGTCGTGATACCCTCCGTCTTAGGATCTCTAAACGGCTCATGTGCTGGGACTTGCCACAAAAGGATTGTTTGCTGACGGAGACAATTTGTTTGATTACATCACTTGTGACGGAGGGCGGGGTGGCGTTTAATTTAGTGTGTGGTTTTCTTTTTTTTTTTTTTAAATCTGCGTGACAAAATGTTAGCCAGATTAACTTGCACGCGATGTTTTTTTTTTTTTTTTTTTTTGACGTTTCTCATTTTAAAATTGTATTGAAGAGAAGAATAGCAAATTTGCGGTCTCGATATTGACACTGTTTTGTCGCATGCTTATAAAGGTTAATTCTTGTTCTGTTTCAATTTAATTGTGTTTTTGTTTATTCAAATAATGTTTAGTTTTATTTTCCAGAAGTTACTTTTATTTAGTGCGGTTTACTTACTTCACGTGCGATTTTAAAAAAGAATTCAAAATATGATTTCTCGTTAAATTAAAGATGAATTTTCATGCATTTGTTGATCTGATTTATCTCAAATTTCCGACTGGCGGAATATGTTTATCTGGGAAATGTGCTAAGATTTCAGGTACCCATCAGAGATGTGGGGACTAGGGGACATTCTACTGACAAGAACCAGAGATTCGAAATGAGATCATTAACCTTCGATCAACTTAGCATTGCGTTTTGATCTGATCGCTTAATACTTTCTTGTCCACAAAAGATTGTTTATGGACATACGCATTCATGCTACTAAAAGAGCATTTGAGGCATGTCCTTCCTACTCTCCAAAGAGCATTTATGGACATAAGCCTTCCTGCCACTAAAAGAGCATTTGGGACATGTGACTTGCTACTCTCAAAAGAGCATTCGAGCCATGTGACTTGCTACTCTCAAAAGAGCATTCGAGCCATGTGCCTTGCTACTCTCAAAAGAGCGTTTGGGACATGTGACTTGCTACTCTCAAAAGAGCATTTGGGAC